ACATTTGGCCCCTTCATCCTTCCCCCTGCGCTGACAGCGCTGGACGACGGGCACGTGGCTGCCTTGCCCCGTCCTCAGCAGCTCCTCGCGCAGCGCAATCGCTCACGTGCACCAGCTTCACCCTGCACAAAGTTAGCTTTTCTGGAGCAGGGTGCTGGCCCCGCTGCACCCGTCCGCCCCGGCCTTGACACAGCTAATTCCCTCTTGCGGCAGTCCTTGCCTGGGTCAGCGTTAAAATTAGCACGCGCCGGCCGCGGGAATAGCGATTGCCTCATTTGCCGCCGCTCTGGGGCAACAGATTTGTTGCGCCTGGTGAACGGGGGCTGCGGGACGTGCCAAGCAGGGTACCCGACCCCTGCAAAACGGCGACCAGCATCTGTACCTGCTTAGCAGGCACCTTTGGAGGATCCTCTAATTAATGTTTGCTCAGTGATTGAAGGTGACAAATACTTGGCTTTACTAGCGAACGATTAGTAGTTGATGCTGTGGATGTTGCCGTCGCTCGGATGGGAGCCAACGTGGAGGTAGCATGGGCTGGGGAGTAAATTCTATTGAATTCTATTAAATTCTGGCATTTTCTGCAGTTTGGTGCTTGATTTTGAAGCCCCTCGTGCTGCAGGGAGCTGATCCGAAGCCTGCTGAAGGTTTCCTGTGATTTTGGGAGTACTAAGCCAAGCCCAAGTTGCTTGCTGTGATGCCTGCCCGGATATGTGTCTGCATAATTGAACCTAAGGTCTGTAAAGATACACCGAGTTATTTCTTCCCCTTTTTCCATATAATTGAACCCAAATGTGATGGACAAGAACTCTCAACACCAGCAAATCATACATGTCTCTTTCTTTATTGGAGGAAAAAGGCATCGGTGAGAGTGGCACCTGTAAATCCATTTTAAAACATTGCTTTCTGAATCCCACTGAGTATACAAACACCGTCATCTTCATCCCCTTTGGCCACAATCCCCACCTCGTTCAGCAGCTGGGACTAGCATTTGGCTGGATTTATGTTCTCACGCTGGTTGCAAGCAGTGGGCAAGAGGTCCCCGTGGCGCATGGTATATCATTAATACTTTTTTACTACTGGCTCTGGCCGATGCCCCCCATCAACCATGTCCCCGCTCTGTCTTCCCATTCTTTTCTTTGCTGATGCTGTTTGGGATTTGCTGGGTTCTTCTGGGAGCAGGGCTAGGACCAATGTTTAAGTAAGGATAAAACACAATAGGCGGATCGCTTTGGCGCAAATGGGGTAAAACAGCCGTGGCGCGGAGAGGACGGGGGCAGCCCGGGAGCCACCAACGCGTTTCAGAGCAGGATGATTAGACCTAAAAAAAGTGAGAGTCCCAAGAGAGAGAACTTTGCACCTGTGAGGGTGACCTCAGTGATTTTCTGCATTTGGGGAAGCTTGATGAGCCCTTCAGAGACCGGAGCAATGCAAGCCCTGAGCTCCTTCGTGGGAAGCTCAAGTGGATCAAAGTTAAAATACTGGAGCAGGCTGGATTTACCGGGCCACTCGGCGACACCAGTACTTACCGGTCATTACAGCCAGCCAGCTGTTTTTCAACCGAATGATTTTTCATGCAGCAGTTTCAGTTTCATGAAATCCCCTCAGCTCAACCAGCTGCGATTAAAAATTTCATCAGAGATCTCTACTTCTCTGAGGTCTGCCATAAAATTTGCATTTCAGGATTTTGCAAAAAAGCTGAGATGGAGAGCTTATATCATGCTGGAAGTGACCTTCTAGTGTCATCGGGGGTGGGAGGCCAGTAACCTTTTTTAGACCGTATAGCAAGGCAGAGCTACGCTACGGGGGACCAGGGGAGTCCCCCAGGAGGCTTGTTTTTGGCAGGCTCTTAGAGGCACGCTCATTTTTCTCGTTCGCTCCCCTGCAAGAAGGGGCCCATGGGTTTGTAACTCCTGTCCCCTGCCGCCCTGGGGCTGGGGTGAGGGCTGGGCTGCAGCAGGAGCGCAGCACAGTGTCCCCTGGTGGCTACTGCTCACATCCGTGGAAAGGACTGGGGCCTGCATGTGCCTCCTTGTGGCCCAGGACCTCCCAGGGTTGGCCTGAAAACGTACTGCTGGAAAAAGCATAGCCTTTGAAAATAGGATGCCCCAGGAGCTGAGGTCTCCTAGGGACGTTCTGCCTGTGACCCCAAGAGAAGGTGATTCATCCTGTAATCTCTTGTATGCCGGGCTTTTTAATTGAGATCCAAGCTTCTTTTCTCAACCCAGTCGTCCGTTTTTACCAAATCGGCAGGACCCTCACACCTTCGCACACCCTTTGGCTGGAAGTGGTCAGAGCTCTGCTCTGCGATGAGCAGAGCGCTGCTAGAAGGACACAGTCACACACCAGCCTCGCTTCCTTGGGAAACCGAGCTGAGGAGCACGTTTGGCGGAGGCAGAGTATCAAAGGCTTGCGTTGGCCAGCGTGCCAGAGAGTAAATCTTGGAGACTGTGTCTAAGGCAGCTTAATTGCTTCTGTTGGGAGAAAGGAAAAGCACCCAGGCTCTACAGGGCAGGAAAGTGGCAGCCCTTGGTGGCACAGCAAAGGTATTTTTCCCTCCTAGAGAATTTGCATTTTTGTTGGCTTCATCCCAGGACCACAGGAACCTTGTCTCAGGGGCAGAAATGAGCATAACGCCTTGTCTGGTAGCTGGCACTCCCCTGCAATGTTCTCTTCTCCCTTTCCCTGAGGTTTGCTTGCTGCAGCTTAGGGCGTCCTTCCCTTCCCACCAGAAGTTTTGCCTTGAAATGACCCAACGCCACATGGTGCTGGGAGGGAGGACTGATAGCCCTTGGTGCCCGGCCCGTCAGCACTGCGAGGGGACCCAGGCAGAGGGTACACCCACTTCTTGAGCCCCCTGGATGTTGTGAAAGCCATCATCAAAGAAGATGTGGGGCTGGATCTGGGTGAGGATGGGGCCCTTGGGAGCCCCATCCATGAAGAAAGCCTCGTCAATGGCCAACCCCCATTCCCGAAGCGTCTTGATGGCTCGGATGCCCATGTCCCGGCCGCTGCGGGCTGTCACCAGATAGGTGCGTATGGGGGATTTCTCTTGGCCGAACTTCTTTCTCATCTTCCCTAGGTGCATGGCAAAAGCCTTCAGAGGACCCTGGAATCGCACAGAGAATTGGGAGGGGGTAGGAAGAAGTGGCTGCTCTGCATAAGAGCAGACAGACTGTACACAAACTGCCCTTCCCCGCTGCAGGCTTTCTCAGGCCTTTATGGAGTGCAGACCTGCAGGGTGTGGGTTTGGACAGCGCTGGGGCTGGCACTGTGCGTGTGTACACTGGCATTGGTTCAAGCCCTGGGGTGGTCAGAAGACAGTGGAGTACTGTGGTGCTAGGGCCAATCCTGGAGCGGCCAGGGAAGCCCATCCCAGCTAGCAGCACTGCTGGGTCTCAAGCCTGCAGTGACTTGGATAGCGAAAGGTCCCAAAGGTGGCAGCGATGTTGCGAGTGACCACGGCTGACCTGCCTCCAGCTATTTGAGACCCAGGGCTCATTTACAGGAGGCATCTCCAGTGTGATGATGGATCAGGCCCACACCAATGGCTGGGGAGCAGTTAATGTGAAGGGAAACCATAAGGATTTGTGCTTTTTCTGCTCCAAGGGGCTCATGGCAGAGCCCTGGCAGGAAAGAGACATTTGCAGCCTGGTGCAAACTGCCCATGAAGGCAGGGCAGCCAGCTCACCTCTCCCATGGGCACGGCCTCCATGGCCCTTTCGTACTGCACAGCTCCCTCCAGCCCCTTCTCCCGAAAGACCTGGTCTGTCTCATCCGAGAAGAGCACAGCGTCACCGTCAAACACCACGCGCAGCTGGGTGCTGGGGGTCTGCACCTCTTGCTGGAAGACGAGCGCTGCAGAAACTCCTGCGAGACATAGTGTGGTGGGATGGGGGGGGGGGTTCAGGTG